TGGAAGCAGAAAGCCTCATCTTTCTCCTGCAGAACAGCTGGTAGTTTCAAACTGCTGACCCTGTTATTCACCCTATACTCTCCATCAAGAGGCTAAAGAAATATAAACATCTAAACACTATAGTTATGTTTTCTTTTCTTACACAGATGTGTATAGGGTATACAGTAAAAAGTCTCCCTCTTACTCCTGCCTCATAGCCACCCAGTTTCTCTCTCTGGAGACAACTCATATTACATTAAGTTTTTTTCAGAGATACTTTTATGCTTATTCAAGCAAATATGAATAAGTAAGTCGTTTTTTTTTTTAATATACAGGTGGTAGCAGACTATGTTGTTAAGTGCTGTTGGGTCAGTTGTGTCTCATAGTAACTCTATATATAGGGTTTTCAAGCAACAGCTAGTGGGTTTCAACTGCCAACCTTGTGGTTCACAGTCCAGTGCTAATCCTATAGTGCCACACCAGTAGACTGTATACATATACAATTTTACTATTTTTTTTTTTTAACCTGAAATACCGTGGATATCCTTTCAGATAAGTGTATAAGGAGCCTCATTTCTTATTTATAACTGCATACGATTTCATTTTTGGCTGTATCCTAATTCATTTAAACTATAATTTGTTACAGTGAAGGGGTGATCCCTAATGAAGGATACCTAGATCATTTTCAATGTTTTATTATTAAAAATAGTGCTGTAATAAATAACCAAATACATTTGTCATTTTGCACTTAAATAAGGTTATTTTAAAGGAGTTAAAATTGGATTAAAAAGTATGTGCATTTAAAATTTTGATGAAACATGCCAAATTGCCCCCCTTGCCCCTCACCAGCAACATAAGAGGATACCAATGCTAGTTCTTAGAAAACCTGTTGTTAATTACCATTGAGACAATTCTGACTCATTGCAATCTGTACAGGGTTTCTGAGGAGCAACTGGTGAGTTTGAACTGCCGACCTTGAGGTTGAGTGCTTATTCTACAGCACCACACCAGGACTCCTAGTGACACTGTACCCAAAGGAAATGGAATGGACCGGGAAACATACTCATTAGGCCTTTTGTCTGATTCTTATCAGTCCCTAGCCTCCTGAGTCAGTGCTCATTTTCATGATTGATATTTTAATATAGAAATATAGAGTTAAACACTGAACTTTAACAGCAGATGGTTTTGCTAGCCTGAACATAAGTTCTTGTTAGCGTTAGCCAAATTTTCTGATACTAATTTTTGTTCAGAGAATAAAATGTAACCAAAAATGTTAAGACAGAGAAATAAAAACAAAGAAAATTATTTTAATTTGTTAGCATGAGTAAGCAGAAGGTCCTCTGGTTTAGTAAGATGCTGATTTGTTTGTTTTCTAGAATTACACAAAGGCAATGCGACTGTTTGTTGGAGAACCAATATGGACGGCATACAACAGGCCCGCTGACCATTTTGATGCTCGAGGACAGTATATGAAATTTTTGGCACAAATAGCATAGGGGTGTTCTCCGGAAACTAACACATGACTGGTAAAGATCCTAAGCATAATAATTGAGCAGAAAAGTAATCATTTTTCTTTGCCTTTACTGTAAACTTGAGGTTAGGTTGTCTTTTCTTTGTAAGATTATTGGATCAGAATATTTTTTAATGAATGGAACAATACAGTTGATTGCTGTATGGATGGAACTATGAAAATCTAGATAAATCACATTCATTTCTTCTAATTAAAACAAGAATAGTGGTTCATTAGCCCTGTGTGAGTATATGCATTCAACTTTCCCATGAATGAAAGCTTAGTCTCCCAAAATGTAGAACACCTTATGTGATCTTTGAATTTTTTTTTTTTTAACTTTAAGCCACATATCATTCAATGCCATTCTTATCTTTAAAAAAAAACATAATAGATAACATAAGTAACCAAATCAAAGATAACACTTTTCCTAAAATTATTCCTTGAGATGATGGTGGGTAGAACATACTATAAATTGATTATGCCTCTTTCTAGTTCAAAACAAAGTAGGTGCCTTAATTTTGTGCTTGGGGTTAGTTACCTTATATTCAGATACATACAAGGGGCCTTTAAAAGGTTTATGGAAAAATTCCATTATATTTTAATTTTATTTTTCTACAAACGTTTTGAAGTTTGAAGCCCCTTCCTATGATATTTTCACCTAGTCCCTTAAAATTTCATTTAGATTTTTTGTGTGATGGTGGTTGGTGGTGGTTCTGTGCTGTGGAGTCAGTTCTGACTCTTAGCAAACCTGTACAGAGTTTCCGAGGCTGTAAATCTTTACGGGAGCAGAAAGCCTCATCTGTCTCCCGTGGAACAGCTGGTAGTTTCAAACTGCTGATATTAAGGTTCACAGCCTGATTCGTAACCACTATGCTACCAGAGCTTCTTGTGTGGTGGTATATGTATATGATTAAGTATTATGTTACCTTGCAAATCTTAGCCTCCATGATCCTGAGACCAGAAGAACTAAATAGAGGGTGCCCAGCTACCACTACTGACTTCTCTAAAAGGGGTCACATTAGAAGGTCCTAGATAGAGTGGGAGAAAATTTGGAACAAAACTCAAAATCATAAGTAAAGACTAGATTTAGTAATCTGACAAAGACTATGGCCTTCAGGCCTGGAATTGAGGTTCAATTTTCAGCCCAACAATAGGCCTCTTAAAGGAGCCGTGACACTAGGGAGGTATGTACACCTTAGACCAATCAACCACAGGAGATCAGAAGGGCAACATTTGCAAGGACAAAGTTCGGAAGCAGGAGGGGTTAGGAAAGAAGGAAGAATGGAATGGAAATGCGAAACACAGGGAGGAAGGAGGATAAATGATGTCACATTGTGGGGATTGAAATCAATGACACAAGACAAAATGTATATGAATTGTTGAGTGGAAAACTGATTTGCTCTGTAAACCTTCACCCAATTCACAATAAAAAATTAATTAAAACATATGTTAGTATTTTTCCAGCATGAAATTTCTATATTAAATTTACCTCCTGTATATCTCTTTCACAATCAAGCCTTTGACTTTTAACAAGAAAATTAGTACATTATATTTCTACTTAACAATTCTGAGATGGATACAATTCTACCTAATCTGATAATATATAAGTATATAAAACACCAGGCCAACCTAATGATTTAGAAGATTGCTTAAGCATTTAAAAACTGGTTCAAAATCTCATGTTAACGTTAATGCTTTATTACCTCCGCAACAACAGCATTGCTTTTGGGAAGTAACCTGTTTGTGAATTTTAGGATTAAAATCACTGCAGGCAACATGATAATGAACTAAATCTCTTTTGTTATTGTTGTGAAGTGCCACTGAGTCAGTTTCAACTCATAGTGATCCTGTATAGCAAGGGTGGGGAACCTTTTTTCTGCCAACATTTATAACATCATTCGTGGCCATACAAAATTAACTTAAAAATTAGCCTGCTATGTATAATCCCTCTATTTGGTATATATACCCATTAGAAATATGAGCCAGGATACAACTAGATATATGCACAACAATGTTCATTGCAGCACTATTTATAATAGCAGCAAGATGGTGACAGCCTAAGAGCTCATCAGTAGAAGAATGGATAAATGAACTTTGGTACATACACACAATGGAATACTATGCAACTTTGAAGAATAATTATGAATCTGCAAAACCTCTCATAACATGGATGAACCTCGAGGACATTATGCTGAGTGAAATTAGTCAATTACAAAGACAAATATTGTATGTGACCATTATTGTAAAAGCTTAAAAGGTTTCCATACTAAAAGGAACATCATTTGATGGTTATCAGAATTGAGTAATTCAGTGGCTAGAGGGTAGACACATATTAGCATGGGTAACAGGGAAGGCAATATACAAGAAGGAGGAAGGCGATACACAAGAAGAGGTAGGGTGCCAGATGAACAATGAAGACAAGGGAAGACTTAGGGAGGTATTCATGGGCCAATGGGATGGAGGTAAATAGTGATTTACACACAATTTTGAAAGAACAGTGTTCTCTGAATAGACACATGGAGTGAGACAGGCTGAATGGGTAAAGGAGGAGAAAAAATGTTTATGTATTTGACTATCTTGTGGATATTGGTTTCCTCTGCCTACTGTTGTAAAATAGATATTTGATGTTTCTTTTAGTGTGAAAACCTTTTCTTGACTTTTTACAATAGTGGTGTCATATAATATTTGTCCTTTAGTGATTGGCTGATTTCACTCAGCATAATGTACTCTAGGTTCATCCATGTTATGAGGTGTTTTGCAGATTTATTGTGATTCTTTAACTTTGTGTGGTATTCCATTGTGAGTAAGTACTAAAGTTTGTTTATCCATTCTTCCGTTGATGGGCATTTAGGTTGTTTCCCTTCAATTGTTTCTAATTAAGAAGTGTAGATATAGATAATCTAAGAATTTTCAACTTTGTATGTTGACTCAGATAAAACATTGTATTCCAGTAGAATCCTAGAAAATAATTTTGCCTGTTTGAAGTCTAACATTTAAAAATGACCCAATTCCAATGGAGTTTCACTTTTCCTGTTTGGCCTTATCCACATTTCCTTAATGAATAGGATCATCCCCTTTCTGATTTTTACTCTCTTTCTTTTTAGCTGATGGAGTTTCCCTGGTAGTGTAAACAGTTAGCTGCTCGATTGCTATTAAAATGGCCTGGCAGTGATGGTCCTTGTCCTGGTCTAATTTCACAAGGGGGAAGAGAATCACCATCCCCAGCATCAACCCAGGGCTAATTCCCATGGCGTTAGACATACTTCCCTTCTCCAGTCTTTTATCCATTCTGACACCAGCCACCCCTCTCATGCTACTCTCTATTACTTGGCTGAGTTTGATAGTTTGCTGCAGTAGCCACATATAACACACAGAGCATGCTCACACATTCGGGTTTATTAGGATAATAACAGGGTACAACTTAGCATCAGGATCAGGAAGTATGTGGGCAAAGTCTCCTTTCTTCAGCATAGGACAGCTCTCTCAGCCGCATAGAGTTCCTCTTGATCCCCCTGATGATAAGATTTTTCTCTCAGTCCTTGGCCCGTCCTTTTCTTTGCCAGGTTAAGAATTATAAAGTTATTTTAGTTCCTCTGGTAAGTACCAGGAGGCACCCGCTTTACCTTGTAGCCTCCTGCCTGAAGGCTCATTTCTCTCAATCAATGGGTCTGGCTCACCCATGGTAGCTGCCAAGAATCCCACCACGTCACTTCACGCTGGTCTCCTGGTTCTGTTGCTGCTGTTTCTCTGCCACTAAACTCTGTTGTGATTGCCGCTACTTCTTGCTGTTTTTCACTTTCTCGCATCCATTTTTACAGCTCTCTTTAGGAGGTTCTCAGTGGGTTTAGGAGGTTCTCAGTGCAGGGACCCTGGTTCCAAAGGATATGCACTATTCCTGGTTTTTCTTGGTGCTAGTGAGGTATTCTGGGATTAGTCCCTGTAAGTCTAGTGGGTTGGTAAAACTAGCCAATCTTCTTATTAGGGTTTAATGTGCCTTTTTGCATGGTCCTACATCATGTCTGGTAAGGTGGAGGGTCAGAGAAGAAGAAGAAGACCCCCATGAGATGGATTGGTAAAGTGGCAGCAACAATGAGTTCAATTGTGAGGTTGGCTCAGGACCGGGCAGTGTTTCGTTCTATTGTACATAAACAGGGTCACTGTGAGTTGGTACTGACTTGATGACACCTAAGTGTAGTGGTTACAAATTGGGCTGCTAACCTCAAGGTTGGTAGTTCGAAACTACCAGTGGTTCCGTGGGAGAAAAGATGAGGCATTTTGCTCCCATAAAGATTTACAGCCTCGCAAACCCTGTGCAGGGTCACTATGAGTCAGAACTGACTCCACGGTACTTAACAACAACAACAACCCCCACGAGGGTTGTATGCACCTTTTTTGCATTATTAGCCCCTTGTCCAATCCTTTTGGTGAGTCACAAGTACCTTATTTGTATAATCTCACAATCATTTTGTGTGAGTCACAAGTCCATAAATGTCTAAAAGAGCCAAATTAAGCAATTTCACTCTGTTGTAGCTACTAAGTAAAAAGTTGGCAGTACAAATTTACTTAGACATACCTTGGAAGACAGGCCGGGCAACCTACTTCTGAATAATAACATCCATTGAAAACTCCATGGAGCACAGTTCAATTCTGGCAACACATGGGTCGTCATGAATTGGAATCAACACAGCAGTACTTTTTTTTTTTTTTTTTTTTTAAATTTCTGTCTCTCTCTGTCCATACTGTTTTAGAAGAAGAACGAGATAAGTGACAAGAGTGTTGTACTGTCCTCTGGAAAGCTGCTGGTGTCACATGCACCTTAATAGCCATATGCTTCAGTGATTGCTACTGTGTATGATCTAATTAAAAGCTGGCAGAGCTTTGCCTCTATTTTGTCATTTCTGCCCTTCAACTAAAGAGTTCCCATTTATCAACTTATAGTACTGAACTCTTAAAAATCCTGAGCTGAGCTTTTACAGAAGTGACGGA